TTAGATTAAGAATAATTTAAGAGCATGGTTGAGATATTGAATATCGAATGACTTGGAATAAAATATTGAGAATATCATGAATGTTTGAATCATATATTGTGTGCATGATATCAAATGGTTGATTATGAATTGAGATTCAATTTATTTGGATGTTCGACGCTTTAGATATGCTTACTCAGCTTCATCGCTGAGCGTGTAGTATGTTTTATTTGCTACACGCAGGTAGACAGAATGAGTGAATGGCATGTTCTTGGCAGCAGAAGGGGCGAGACAGTCGTGGTGGATCATTGAACAAAATAAATAGTTATGTTGTTATGAGACATGTTTGAAAGTCGCTTCCGCATTATTATTATTAAACACTCCGTATTTTCTACAATTATGTATGGAATATTATTATTTATAAATAAAAATGTTTGAAATGTTTTAAATTTTTACGATTACCAAATCAATACTTTAATCCGAAAGGGGCTGCAGACCTGGACGGATTAGGGTGTTACAGATAGTATAGCCAATATCTGGCTTCATACTTCTTTCCTTTAGAAGCAGCACCCAAGGACTCCAAGATATCTCCAATGTACAGACCTTGACAAAGGTATTTCTGGTTGGGTTTTCCCAGATGCTTTGAGATGGAATTGAAGAAATGAGCAGCCCAATTTACCTTAGACTTGGTAATGAGGGCATTGATGATGAAGGCCCTCTTTTGGGTGATGTCATCAGCATGTCCTCCACTTCCACATTCGAGGCATCCGATGACCAGTTCAAGGACTAGCTTGTAGTCGCTGTTCAGATGAGTTTTCTTCGCTGGGCCAGAGGGAGTTTGCCCAGAAATTCCAATAATGTTCCAATCCAGATTCTTGGCTGGAAGTCTCCCAATTTCAACTCCAGAATTGGGAAGGTGAAGCTTTTCTCCCAATTTCTTCTACGAAAGCTTCACTTTTGTCCCTCCAACAGTGGAATTGATGACTTGAATCGTCCTTTGTGGGTCCTTCTTCGATTTGACAGTCTTGACCTTTCCATTCTTGTAGAATTCAAGAACTTCGTTCTCATACTTGAATCGAATCTCCATATGAAGGAATTCGGAGAGCTCTTGAGCAGCAATCATCTCCAGATAGGATTGATAGAACGTTGGTGAGGAGCACTTGGCTTCCAACTTCTGGAAATGGATATTAGCGCCAACAATCTTCATTATCTCGTAAATTTAAGTGAGAATATCTGAAGAAATTAGGGTTCTTGAGAATTTTATCAGCAGGTTCTCGTGAAGAAGACGATGAAAAATTTGAGTGGGCTGAGTGGGCAGTTGAGGTCTGATTATAGTGACGATTGGGTTGAATGTGGGCGATTTATGCGACTAGTGGCGATTGGGTTTTTAACTATTCCCAAGGCCACGTCCCCACCCACCATTTTGATAGACGTGGAAAATGAACTGCCACGTGTACCGCACTCAGTCTAATTGAATTAGACCAATTTTGTGAAGCAAATCTGAAAACTTGGCTTCACTTAGTGGTTTGGTGAAGATATCCGCCAGTTGTTCTTCAGTTGAGATATACTCAATTTTGATATCTTTCTTTTCCACATGATCTGTGATGAAGTGATGCTTGAGATCAATGTGTTTAGTGCGAGAATGATGCACTGGATTTTGTGAGATGGCTATAGCACTTTGATTGTCACAAAAGATTGTCACTTCCTTTGTCCTGACTCCATAGTCCAGTAGTTGTTGCTTCAGCCACAGAATTTGAGCACAACAACTACCAGCAGCAATGTACTCTGCTTCTGCTGTAGATGTAGAAATGGAGTTTTGTTTCTTACTGAACCAAGAAACAAGATTTCCACCAATGAATTGACAAGTACCAGATGTACTTTTCCGGTCAACTATGCATCCGGCAAAGTCAGAATCTGAGTATCCCACTAACTCAAATGAATTGCTCTTAGCATACCACAAACCCATGTTCTGAGTTCCTTTGAGGTATCTAAGAATTCTTTTAGCTGCTATCAGATGAGTTTCCATTGGCTTTGATTGGAATCTGGCACAAACACCTACTGCATATGAGATATCCGGACGGCTTGCTGTATGATAGAGTAGAGATCCAACAATTCCTCTGTAGAGAGTTTGATCTAATTTCTTTCCATCTATATCCATATCAAGCTTGGTGGATGTACTCATGGGGACAGAAATGGATGACTTCTGTTCAACTTTGAATTTCTTGATAAGATCCCTTGTGTACTTGGCTTGGTTGATGAGAGTCCTTTCACTTCTCTGTTTGATTTGAAGGCCAAGGAAGTAGTTGAGTTCCCCCATCATGCTCATCTCAAATTTTCCTTGCATGAAGGTTGAGAACTTGGTGCAGAGATCTTCCTTAGTTGAGCCAAACATGATGTCGTCTACATAGATTTGGACTAACAGGAGATCTTCTCCGTCTTGTAGTTTGAACAATGTCTTGTCAATGACTCCTTTGGTAAATCCATTGTTTATAAGAAATTGAGACAATGTATCATACCAAGCTCTCGGAGCTTGTTTGAGTCCATACAATGCCTTTTTGAGTCTATACACTTGATCTCCCTTAGTGTGTAACTCAAATCCTGGAGGTCTATACAATGCCTTTCCCTTGAGAAATGCTCTTTTGACATCCATTTGATAGACTTTGAAATCCTTATGAGCAGCAAAGGCTAGAAACAGCCTTATAGCTTTAAGTCTAGCAACTGGAAAATTGGTTGAGTTCTTCTTGCATTGCATTGATCCAATCAGAATCAGCTAGAGCTTCTTCAATATTCTTTGGTTCCACTTGTGAGATGAAACAAGCAAGCATAGCTTCTAGATTCTGCTGAGCACTTCTTGTGCGAACGCCAGATTGAATATCTCCAATGACTTGTTGGGGAGGATGATCCCTTAACCAACGAAGATTGTGTTGATTAGGATTGACTGGTTGATCTTGTTCAGCTTCTGGTTGAAGAACAGAAGTTGTTGGTGTTTCCGGATGGATTTGCACTGGGTTGCCATTTCCGGAATTGTCGCCGTTTGAGTGATCCGGAATATTAGAAGGCTGGCCAAGATTTCCGGTAGGCTCAGCACTGTTTGAATCCGGATTTCTCTGTGAAGTCTTCAGTGGTAGACTTCTGGATGGAATGAATTCCGTAGGCTTCATTTTATCTCTTTCATTGACTTCTTCATCCTTGTCAGATAGATCCAGAATCTCATGATCATGCTTTGATGGCTGGTCAACCACATGTTTTTCATCAAAAATAACATGTATTGACTCTTCAGTGATCATGGTTCTTTTGTTGAAGACTCTGAATGCCTTGCTCACCATAGAGTATCCAAGGAAGATGGCTTCATCTGATTTCTCATCAAAAGTGTTCAGATGATTCTTCCCGTTGTTTAACACAAAGCACTTGCTTCCAAAAATATGTAAATGTGATATATTAGGCTTTCTCCCGTTCCATAGTTCATAGGGAGTTTTGTTGTGCCTTTTGTAAATCATACTCCTATTTTGAGTATAGCAAGCCGTGTTAACCGCTTCAGCCCAGAACCTCTTTGGTAAGGAAGCTTCTGCTAGCATTGTTCTCACTGCTTCCTTCAGGGTTCTGTTCCTTCTTTCCGCTACACCATTCTGTTGAGGCGTCCTTGCTGCGGATGTCTGATGAAGAATTCCGTTTTCTTCACAATAATGAATGATGATTTCATTCAGGAATTCTGTGCCTTTGTCAGATCTGATATTCTGAATGGTCTGACTTGCTTGGTTTTGAATCAGCTTCATGCAGTTGGTGAGTTTTCCTTAAGTCTCCTTCTTGCTGTTGAGGAAGATTGTCCACGTGGATCTTGAGTAATCATCAACTACCACCAGGACATATTTCTTTCCACTTAGACTTATTGGTGTAACAGAGCCAAATAAGTCCATGTGGATAAGACTTAATATCCTTGTAGTTGAGGGTTCCGGTTTTGCCTTGAAAGTAGATTTGACTTGCTTTCCTTTCTGGCACGCATCACAAACGCTTTCCTTCCTGAATACAGCTTTGGGAAGGCCTTCTACTAACCCTTCTTTGGATAGCTTGTTGAGAGTTTTGAAGTTGAGATGACTCAACCTCTTATGCCAAACCCATAGAAGGTTAGTGTCACCTTTGCTGATTAGACATGCTTCCTTGACATCGTTCCATATCACTTCATAGATGTTTCTGATTCTCTTCCCAGTGAGAATGACTTCATTTGTGGAGATGTTCTTGAGAGATGCAATGTCCATGCAGAATTCCAAGGAGTAACCTTTATCACAAAACTGACTTATGCTAAGAAGGTTGTAATTGAGTCCTTCAACATAAGATATAGCTTGGATGGTTAGTTCCTTGTACACCAGATTTCCTAGCCCTATAGTAAGGCCAAAATCGTTGCTTCCTCCAAAAGTAACTCTTGGACCATCATAGGGAATTAGATTGCTCAAAAGGCTCGCATCACCCGTCATGTGTCTTGAGCAGCCACTGTCTAAGTACCAGATACCTGGGTACTTAGCGGCTTCCTGCATTAGGAGGAGGAAGAATTTGGTACCCATTTCAGTTCGGGTCCGGAATGGTTAATGGTGTATGTCCCTACATCAAGTTTAAAGTTGCAGGGAATTTTCCTTGCAGCTCTAAACTTGTTGGGATTGTAATTATAGTTGTAGGCATAAAACTTCCTACGTGCAGGAGGTGCAATTTCTTGTTTCCTCCTAGCAAACCTAGGTTGATAAGACCTATAGTTTTGTCTAGGTTGTGCATAGTGTGACCTGTGTTGGTTATAAGCATACTTAGGTGGCACAAATAGTTTCTGGGGTGGAGGATGACTATATCTTGGCATAGTTCTCCACTCAGAATTTCTCGGAAAACTCCTGTCTACCCCATAATGAGTATAGCCTCGTGTATATTGGGGGTTAGAAGGTTTTCTTCTGAAATTGTTTCCTTTTTGAGGTCTGTCCAGCTTCCTAAAGTTCTTAGGAGGGACTACCTTTTTGGGAACTTCTGTTGGTTTCTTCTTTTCCTTCCCTTTCTGCTTATTTGGTTTGGCAGTAGGTTTAGGAGGGATAAAAGTTGTTTTCCCTTTTCTTTTGGAACTAGAGGGGTCAAAGCCAAGTCCTTTGCGACCCTTTTGTTTGGTCGTTTCAAGAAGCTTGTTCACTGCTTCTTGGGACTTAAGTATCCCTAGCTCATTGTTAAGGGATTTCACCTTTTCAGAGAGAGATTCATTTTCAGTCTTGAGTTGAGTGATCTCATTCAGTTGACTTTTCCGACTTTCAGTCAACTTGAGATTCTCTTCACTCAATAGTTTGTTCTCTTCTGTTAAGGATGAGTGTTTGAGATTTATCTCCTCAAAATCTTTCATCATCTTTTTGAACTGGTCAAAAATATTTTCAGAGGTTGGTATGCTATAAGAAGATGAGCATGAGGTTTGTGAAGTTACCTCTTGATCAGCATCATCTTTGGCCATTAGGCAGAGAGAGTCATCTTCTAACATAGTCCACCTGTCCTCATGGTTGGACTTCCCAAGTCTGCGCTCCATGCAGACGAGGGCTTCTTCATCCGAGCTTGAGCTGGATGACTCGTCACTTTCAGCAGCAACCATTGCTTTCTTTTTCTTCTCGATCCTTTCTCTTTCTCCGTACTTCTCCACCTTTGGGTACGGGCATGCTGACTTCCAGTGGCCAGGCTTCCTATAGTTATAGCATAAATAAGATTCAGGAGGGGAGTCACTTACATGTGGCTTTCGCTTGGATGACCTTCTGATTGAATCGGCCTTCTTGAAGAACTTCTTGAACTTCCGGAATTGTTTGACTATCATGGCAAATTCCTCATCGTAGTTCTCCATTTTTGAGCTTGTCGGCTGGCTGGAGGAAGGTGTGTCACAGTTTCTTGTGCATGTCCCTTCACTTGATGAGATTCTTGGAGTTGTCATCAATGCCGTGGGGTAGGGAGTGACTTGTTCTTCTTTCTTCTTCTTCAGCTCGTGCTCATAGGTTCTGAGTTCATCAAGGAGACCTTGAACAGTGTAGTTCTCCAGGTTTCTTCCTTCTTCCATGGCTGTGGCTTTGGTGTACCACTCAGTTGGAAGTGATCTCAGCAACCTTAGATTCTTTTCTTTGGGAGAAAGAATGTGGTTAAGTGAAGCAAGATCATTCAATATCTTGTGGAATCTTTCATCCAACATATCAAATGATTCTCCGGGAAGCATTT